AGAACAAGTGAAAGGAAGTATCAACTCAATGAAAGGAGACATGAGTCAAGTATTGCTTTCCCTGAAGAACATCATAGCAAGACATGATGAGATTCCCAAGGTAGATTTTGAAGAAGTAGCTCAAACCATTGGTATAATAAACGGTCACAAACCAAGACATAAACCAAATTTAGGTCCTTTAAATTCAACTGTTGCCCAACAAGACACCATCATGACTGAAGGTTTCGTTCCACCTCCTCCGAAGGTGGGGGCATCCCACACTTTGCAGATTCCGGTTAACAATCCTCCCAACATGGATAACTATATGGACCTACAGTATGGGGACCATGACTTGGATGGTATAACTTAAGAGCCTCAACAAAAGGCACTCCACATCAATGTTTTTGAAGATCATGTGGCAATTAATTAATTTAAAGCCATTGAAGAAAGGCTAAAGGTTGTAGAAGGTTATGATGCTTTCAATGTTGGTGCTCTAGAAATGTTTTTATGTTCAGATGTAGTGATTCCTCCCAAGTTAAAGGTACCTAACTTTGGAAAGTATAAGGTAATCACGTGCCCAAGGAATCATTTACGCATGTTCTGTAGGAAAATGTATGCCTATGCTCACGATCAGAAGCTGATGATCCACTTTTTCCAAGACAATATGAGTGGGGTATCCTTAGATTGGTATATGCAGTTGGAGTGAGAACACATCTGATCATGGGTAGACCTTGCTAACCCCTTCTTAAGTAAATACAAATAAAGCTTGGACATGGCTTCTAATCGCATGCAACTTCAAAATTTGTCCCAAAAGAAGGACGAATCTTTCAAAGAATATGCTCAACAATGGAGAGAAATGGAAGCTCGTGTACAACCACCACTTCTTGAAAAAGAATTGGTAGACATGTTCATGAGTACTCTAAAAGGGCTATATTATGAGAAGGTGGTAGGCAGTGTCTCTTATGAATTCTCCGACTTGGTGATAATTGGGGAACAAATTGAAGATGGTTTAAAGAGCGTCAAGATACAAGGGGCATCTAGTACTTATTACAACCCAAAGAAGCATATTCCTAATTTCTAGAAAAATAAAGAAGGAGAAACTAATGTTGTTGCAGCTCACCAGAAAGCACAACAACCGTTGGTGATCCCATAACAGCAAAACAAGTTTGAAAGACCTTCGATAATATTTGATCCTCTCCCTATTCCACACAGTCAACTACTACAACACTTGCTCAACGCATCCTTGGTAGAACTGAAGTCGCTTGCTCCTCCTATTAGGGCACTCCCACCAAAATATGATGCTAATGCAAGATGTGAATACCATGCTAATTCTCCATGGCATACCATTGAGAAATGTCGGGCCTTAAGACAAAAGGTTCAAGATCTGATAGACTCCCAAAATATCACCTTTGATAAGCCAAATATAAAGACAAATCGCATGCATCTGCATGGTGGACCAGTTGTGAATGCAATGGAGATAGTCACTAATCATGGAGAGACTATATGAGTAAAAACTCCAATAGGTATGCTGAAGGAGAATTGATTGGAATATGGATTTCACTTGGAACATAATGACACTTTCAAGAATACATTGCAGAAATTGGTGGACCAAGGGATGTCCAATTTAGGCACTTCCATGAGGAAGAAAACATAGCAGGAATTAATGGAAATACAAGAAGACCATTGGTGATCCCTTGCCAAGGTCCAAACTCTACAAAGAGACCACTTGTAATTCCTTATGGGGAGTAGATCTCAACAAAGATATCGGTAACAATACCATGCCAAGGTCAAACTCTGAAGATACCATTTCCCATTCTCTATTAAAGCGATAAAGTTGTGTCGTGGAGTTATGATACCACCGTCTATGTCAATGGGTTAAAACAAGAGTGTGAGTCGTCAAAAATTCAAGGGCCTGCAATTACAAATGTAGAATTAACAGGGGGCATGACCTATAGTGGTCTCATATATGCTCCAGATCAACACAAGAAGGATGATACTTTGGCTAAGAATAAAGGAAAAGTTGTGGCTTAAACTAGTCAAGGGAAGGAACCTCCGAGTAAAACTTTTACCGACCAAGAGGCTGATGAGTTATTAAAAATGATCAAGAAGAGTGACTATAGGGTGGTAGATCAACTTCACCAAACCCTGACCAAGATTTCAATACTCTCATTATTAATAAATTCAGAGGTTCACCGAGATTCTTTGATGAAAATACTAAGTGAAACTCATGTAACAAAGGAGATCACAGTGGATCAATTTGATGGAGTCGTGGCTAATCTAACATCAGGATCACACATAGGCTTCAATGACAATGAGTTACCTCCACAAGGAAGAACACACAACAAGGCACTGCATATTTCAATCCAATGTGGTACTAACCGATAATGGCTCTTCCTTGAACATACTATCAAAGACCAGTCTGATGAAACTAACAATTGACGACATAGTTATAAGAACAATCTCTATAGTGTTTAACGCCTTTGATGGCTCACAAAGTACAATATTTGGAGAAGTGGGTCTTCTAGTAAAGATTGGCTTGTATATGTTCTGCATCACCTTTCAAGTAATTGATATAAAACCGACATATGCTTATCTGCTCGAGCAACCTTGGATTCATGCAGCAGGGGATGTCACTTCAACCCTGCATCAAAAATTGAAGTTCCTCGTTGAAGGAAAATTGGTGATAATTTATAGAGAAGAAGATGTCTTCATAAGTCATTTGGAATCTTAAAGATACATCAGTGTGGAAGAAGACTGAGTAGAGACGCCATTCAATGTCCTAGAAGTGGCAACGATGGTTACACTCTCGGTGGAAGAAGTCACAGAACCTGGAACTACTATAACATTTTGGAGAGACTTGCAAATAGTTGTGGAAGACTGAACACCTAAAGGTCGGGGAAAGCTCGTGGAGATACTTGAGAAGAAAGATAACTTTGGTTTGGGCTATCAACCGTTAAAGGATATTAATAAAGGAAAAGGGAAATTTCCTCCCATCTAGTAGACCTTCATCAACAAAGGAATAGAGCATGGTGGAAAAGTATCACTGATATCCAACAAGGGCAAAAACAAGGGATCATCCAACTTCATCCGTGAATGTGCTCCAGGTGAAGAGCTCAAGAATTGGACGGTTATCGAGATTCCAAAGATATTTTTCTTTCCAAAGTAATTTCTTTTTTGTTTTTAAAGAACCTATCTCCCGCTTGAGGCCTAGGGGTAGCTTGTAAGGGCCCCCATTTATTTTCAAACAGTATTTTCAATTAATAAAAGTTTTTTCTTGCATTCAATTGAGATTCATGTCTTTCTCTTTTATTTACTACCATTTTTAAAATGACAATACTTTTTCTTCATTCACACTTTCCAATTTCGCATTCTAAAAAGCACCAAAACATGATAAAATGTTTAGATCCTCACCTAACCTCACCGATAATGATACTTCTACGATCCGATATGATTTTGATGCACCAATCATCCAAGCTAGAGAGGAGGATAAGGAAGATCATGAACTCTCTGAAGATTTAGCAAGGTTACTAGAGCAGAAATCAAAGGACATACATCCATACAAGGAACCTATAGAGATCAACAATCTTGGGACAGAGAAAGACAAGAAAGAAATAAAGATAGGTGCAACCTAGGAAGAAAACGTGAAGGATAGGTTGATCAAGCTCCTGCATGAGTACTGTTGCAACTGGCTTTAAATACAGAGTCGCCACCCTTAATTTTTATCCTAAAGGAAGGGAGTAAAAAGGAATAACCCTAAAGTTCAGAGATTCTATATTTGGACTCGGTTCTAGACGAGGGGAAGGTATTAGGAACCCCTTATCTACCTTGTTCGCAAGGATACGAGGTTTAGAAGTGCAATTTAAAAAAAAATAGGGTTTTAATTTTTATTAGCGGAACTCGCCACAATTTTGATCGTATGCCTACGTATCCTCTTAGGAGGAATCAGAGTCCCATTTCGTAGTTCGCAGTTTTGTTTGTGTTTTTTTTAATTACGACAAATATTCGAATTTCCCACGCGCTTAGCCTAGGTGCATGAATGGCTGAGATTTTTAGAAAAGGGGGCAGTCGATTTAAATATTATCGTAATCTTTTTGAAATTTGATTATTGTATCGATTTCATTTTTAAAATAATTTATTGTTGGTTAAGATATTTTTTTAGAGTTTTAATTGTCAAAATACTTTAATTAAGTGTATGATTAAATAAATGATAATTTAATGCAATAAGTAGAAAATATTTTAATAAATTGGAAAATAAATAATATGATTTAAAATCAATAATAATATTAAAATTATAATTATATAAAATAAGAAATATAAAATAGTAAAATAAAATAAAATAAAAAAAAGATTAAAAATGTAGGGGGTGTGAATATAGTTTGAGAGTAAAATGGGGGGGGGGGGGGGGTAGATAGAAGGGGCCTGAATTCAGATATTGAATTATGGCCCAAATGTCAAGGGGTGCATTTTTTCAAAGCTTAGAAAAACAAGAGGTGCATAAGGAATATGGGTCCAACTCCAGATATTGGACTTGGCCCATCTGGCCATGGGGCGCTGTTTTCAACGTAACACCAAAAATAAAAAAGTAGGGGTGTGTTTAGTAGTGGGCTCGGCCCAGAATAATTAGGAGAGTTCGTGTGGACCCTGTGTGTGTGAGGGGGGGGGGGGGGGCTTACGATGATACCATGGACGTGTGGGACGATGGATTATTTGATCAAGATTGTATAGACATGGTTGAAGGAGCATTGTAACAACCATAAGCATATACGTACTGGATTGCTAAGTTACTATATTTTTTTTACACAACAAGATCACTTTTCAATATCTATTGTGCCCTCTTCTCTCTCCCTTTGCGTCTCTCATCTCTCTCTACATAACAATGAAACCCTAATCCAACACACAACCGACAACGACAGCAGTGTTCGAACCTCTCACTCTCCTTCTCCGATCCTACAATGAAACAACACAACCACATACCATGAAGCTAATCTTTTTATACCTTCAATCCTTTTATAAGGTCGTTCATGATTCTTGATTTTCACCTTCTTTCTCCTTCTTTTGCAGGCAACACAGTGGATGGCAATGAAGATGGTCATGGAGGTTGGAGGACGAGGGAGGCAAGGGTTTCGGATCTAGGGTTTCAGAGTTTAAAACTCGGATCCCTTTCAAGCTTCGTCTCCTCTTCTGTGAATTTGTTATCCCTCTTTCTTTCTGTGAATCCTCTTCCTCCCCATGATCTCCTATTCTGTAATCGCTCCCCCCACTATAATTCTTCTTTTCTGTAGTTTATTTTTCTTTTTCATTGTCCCTTTTCACTAACGATTTCCTCAGTTTTATAATGTTTTTAGATTAGGTAATTTTAGGAAAATGATTTATAAGACATTATTGAGGTGATTGTAATTTAATTTCAAATTTGAATTTGAATCATTTTGAATTTGTTTCTGTTTTAGGATGATTGTGTTTCTGCTTTAATTTTGATGCCATTTCTGTATGATTTGCTCTGAATCAAAAAGGAATGAAAAGATATGATGATAAAAGACTTGACGCGTAAAAACCTCGTCAATCTGTACAATGGTTGTTCTTGCCTTGGGCTGGGCCTGTAAATGTGTTTGGATTCTTCTTGGTTGGGCCATGCGCTTTTTGGAAACAACAACATGTTAAAAAATGGTTGGGCCATGCACTTTTTTGGAAACAACAGTATGTTAAAAACAAAATGGTCCTGCTCACTTAGGCTTTTGTCGACGTTTATAAAAAAATAACAAAAATAAAAATAACTTCAATAATAACAATGTTACTAATAATATAATAATATTAATAATAATCAATTATAATAATAATACAAGGTAATTATAAAAAGATAATAATAATGTTAATGGAAATATAATAATACTAATTATAATAATGATTAATAACAATAATTAATAAAATTGAATAATAATGAAAAAATAACAGAAATTGACTTTCAATTATTCTGATTAAAAGTTGGGCCCTTGAAATAAATTGATATGGGCCAATCTTATGACAACAAAAATGTACCCCCTGTCCTTTATTATCAAACAGAAAAAAGAAACAAAAGGGCCGGCTGAATAGCTTAATGGGCCATACTGATTCAATTGTATTGGGCTTCAACAAAAAAAATATTGTTTTATGCTCCCTTTCCATGTTTTACACCCCTGTAGAAATAAAAATTAAACAATATGATTTATTAAAAAGGAAGCCTAAATATAATATAAGGGTAGGACAAATTTGGTGTATGACAGTTGCCCCTATTTAATCACTCTTCGATTGAATGGTGCGAGAATACGCAGGTCTCGCATGTTCAAATCAGAGGGTTATTAAATAATGGAAGACCCCAAAATTTGGATCAAAACATTATTAAATTAAGGTACACTTATATAGCATACCTTAGAGCTTAAAGAAATAGGCAAGGACGATGATGTATCATCCTACAGGAGTTTGAATAAAGAAATAGGCAAAGATGATGATGCATCATCCTACGAGAGTTTGAATAGAGAGATATGATTGAAGAGTAAGTATAGATAATGATGTATCATCTTACCAACATTTGAACCAAATTTATTATTTGACTTAGACATGACGACACGAATATCCCGTCAATATCTAAAAGAGATTGTAGAATTTTGCATATTTATCGTAACCTAGGATGTAAATCATACAAGCTTGAAAAGTTAACTTACTAATGCTTGGAGACTAATATAGTAAGTTTTGGTTTAATTAGATTTTATTTATTCATCGCAACCTAGGGGATGTATAAAACAAAGTTTGACAACACATTTCCGCATGGAGACTGACACAATTGAGCTATATTGCAGGAAAACTGATAACAAATATTACTGCATAGAGACTGATGCGATGAGTTAAATCGAGGAAGAAACTTGATAATGACATTGCTGCCTAGAGACTGTTGCAATGGATTATACCGTAAAGAGAAAAGAAAAAAAGTTTGATAATAATATTGCGGCATGGAGACTTGTGCAATAAACAAAGTTTGGTAAAAGCGTTGATGTATGGAGATTGCAGTAATGGAAGGAGTTTGATAACATCGCTGCATGGAGATTGATGCAATGGATCAAATTGTTTATTTTGCAACATTGTTGCCTGGAGTCTAACACAATGGGCTAGATCGTGAAGAAAGAACATATTATTGCGTGGAGACTGACACAAAGAGCTATATTGTAGATTTACCACATTATCGCATAGAGACTGACACAATGAGTAAAATTACTGATTTCTCATTATTGTTTCCTGGGGTCTGACACAATGAGCTAGATCACAAAGGAGGAACATATTGTTACATGGAGACTGAGACAATAAGTTAAATATACAAAATTTCGCGCACTTTTGCATAGAGACTGACACAATGGGTGGAATGTATTGGAAGTTGTTTTGAATGATCCACATCTTAGATAACTAAATCAGAGATGAGAATGGATTTTACTGGTTATTTGTTTCTAACGGAGGTAAGAACTGATGGAGGGCCCTAAGGTATTGGCTCTGTTCGTAGTAGGTTTCGAGAAATGTCATGCATGAGGCATATGTATGGAAACATGGAATTTAGAATGGATATGTAACGAATGTGTGTATGCCTCAAATATATGTTGGTGAAAACTATGTTTATATGCCCCAAATATTATGGAAAATTTCTTTTGATAATTCTCCTTCGTCAAACCATTGGGTTCTTGTAGTCATCAACTTCCCTGTATTGTTTGTTGCCAATTATTGTATCTCTGAGTTGATTTGAATTTGGTGAAAAATGTCAGCAAGATTTTAATGCCTGTATCGTAAGTGCAGGCGTAGGTATGGACATAGACATGGATATTGGTGTTAATGTTGACATAGTCGTAGATGTAGGTGTAGGCGTGGAAACAGACATGGATGCTCTTTCAATGTTTTTCTAAATAGATAAACTTTGATGCTTTATCAGATGCTCTTTGGTGCTTTTGTATGTTAGATGCACCAAATGTGGTGAATGACCATGAGATTTTGATATGGTTATGGTGTTCGTCATGCTTGATGTGAGGCCCACTTTTTTTTCACTTTTTTAAAAAAATGGGAAATCTACTATCGAGAATTCCAAGGAATCTACTACCAAGATCCTATTGAGATATTACCTTCTACCGAGGTCTTCTGGATAATCAACTGCTATGATCAACCAGGGGAATCTACTGCGGAGATTCGTTTATAAATTACCTTCTGCTGAGGTCTTCCAGATAATCAACTGTCGTGATTAATCAAGGGAATCTACTTCCAAGATTCAATTGTGAGCTACCTTCTGCTGGGGTCCTCTGGATAATCAACTGACGTGATCAACCCGAGGAATCTACTACCGAGATTCAATTACGAGCCACCTTCTACTGAGGTCTTGTGGATAATCAACTGACGTGATCACCCAGGGGAATCTACTGTCGAGATTCGTTTGTAAATTACCTTATGCCAAGGTCTTCCGGATAATCATATGTCGTGATTAACCAGGGGAATCTACTACCGAGATTCAATAGTGATACCTTCTGCCGAGGTTTTCCGGATAACCATCTGCCATGGTCAACCAGGGGAATCTAATGTCGAGATTCAATGGTGATATACCTTTTGCCGAGGTCTTCCGGATAATCAACTTCCGTGATTAACCCGGGGGAATCTACTGCCAATTTTCGATGTAAAATTACCTTCTGTCGAGGTCTTCTAGAAAATCATCTGCCGAGATCAACCAGGAAAATCTACTGCAGAGTTCTGTTTATAACTACCTTTTACCAAGGTCTTCTAGAAAATTAATTATTGTGATCGACTAGGGGAATCTACTGCTGAGATTCGTTTGCCAATTACCTTCTGTCGAGGTCTTCCAGATAATCAACTATGATGATCAACCAGGAGAATCTACCGCTGAGATTCCGTTTGTGAGCTACCTTCTACCAAGGTCTTCTGGATAATCAACTGCCATAATCAACTAAGGGAATATATTGTCGAGATTTAATGTAGAATTGATAATTTGATCGACAATGATGATTGTCTTCACATAAAAATGAGGTTTTATGCTATGTGTGCAAATTTGATTGATGTATGAAATGTGATGATTGATTTGATTCATGTGATGGATGACTTGTATATGTGTAAATGGATGTTGGATTTTTAAATGCGAATGTGTAATTGGGATTTTTGAAATATGCTCGACCCATGCTGTCGGACTTCGTCAAATGGATTAGATGATAAGTATAGCTTGATTCTGGATCGAAGAGCCTTAATGCATGATTTATGCAGCCTTATGTTTTATGATTATGACTTGAATGGTTTTTTGAATGGGGCCCATTTGATGGATCATGGATGATTAAAGCGTGAAAGTTATCTTATGAAACAAGGTTTCTTGTCATATAATGGTAGAGTGTTGTGCTTACATGATTTCTTGATACTCGATTTGAACTCAAAGATTGCTGATGTAGAAGAAAGATCCACCAGAGGTTATGAAAGTACGCAGAGAGCCAACCCTTATATGGATTGTCTTTAGTTAATTTGTTAGTAAGGTCTTGGAAGAGATTCTCATTAATATGAGTTTGGAAATAGTTTGATCATAATATGAATGACCTCACTATTTTGCATTATGCCCCTGATTAAAAGACTCTTGAAAATGTTTTGATGAGCCATTTTGAATCAACTCCTTTTAATCGAGCCTCACAGTGGTTTTCACCAACATTAGAACTATGAAAGATGTGTCCCTCAATCTCTAGGATCTGGAGGAAGTACCCTCAAAAAGAACTTAGACTTCACCATGAACTTGACATAGATTGCCCCGAGTATTCGAAACTTGAAAAGTTTGTACTCGAAGTTGCTGAAAGGGGAATTTCGACCCTACATCCAATAGGATGAACTTGGTACGTACTTCCCCAACATTTGAATCTTGGAAGGTTTCCCATGATTATCAAGGCCTTGAGATGTTTTTTAAAATGAGGAAACCGAGTCATACCCTGTTGTGATATGACCTAATTAAGGAAAGCTTCTTCGAAAGGTATGCCCCTGATTGAGCATTGCTTTGGATTTTGATTGAAGTTGATTGGATCTCAGAATGATCACCTTTTATCAACAGTACCTTCATGTGATATACCCCTATGATCATTAGTATTTTCCCTTGTTTATAAGTGATCCCCTTAAATGCTTTTCCCTTAGTTAGGAGCTTCTTGGAAGTTTTTCCTTTGATCAGACCCTTTTGAAATCTCCTTGATGCTGAGTATTGATTCGTAGATAAAATTGTACATTTTGAAAAAGTAATTTCGTTTGA